CTGAGTTGGGAACCAGAGGCCTGAAACATAGATTAGTGGGCTTCCTGAGCTGTGTGCGGATACAGGGAGTTATATTTATTGGACTTTTTATTTATTTTATTTTATATATTTATTGGACACAAACCGAGCTGTAACTGAATTTACACGCTCGCAACATTATCAAATCACAATTTTGATTCATCAATCAATAATTGCATGGGTTAAAATTTTGTGCTTGCTTATGATTATATTATATAATTATAATTTTTTTCAAATTGAATTTATATATATATATATATATTATTTTTAATACAATAGAATTCAATGTGAAATGTTAAAATTAAATATAAAAAATCAAGATGTACATTGTAATGTAACAATGCATTCTTCAATGTTGGGTAGGCTGCGCATCTTGAAATAAAGGTTGTGCAATGGTACCTGTTTTACATCAAGATGCAATTTTATAAATAATTAATAAAGCATTAGCCAGTAAGCATATAAATTCATATATGGAATTTTAGTTATTTTGATGGTACCATATTAATTGTATATTTTTTTCTCATATAGGGTTAAGCCATATAAATGGCAACACCAGTATTAGATTAGTTTTATTTTTTTTTATATCAATTTGTAATAGTAGTAATAATAAAATTAAGCAATAATAGTGAGCCAAAGAATAGGAACTGTTAATGCCTTTTGGGGTTGGTCTTGGGGCCAACATGTTTCTCCCATGCAACTTGCAAAAAAATTGTTAATAAAAATTTGCCCATATTTCAGGGCATGTTTAGTCATGCTAGCTCCACTAAAAATAAATATTGAAAATCATAAATGATGATAAAAAAAACACTTATTTATTCACAATTTTTAAATAAAAATAGCCAAATGAAAGATCACTACACAATGGCTAAAACTCCTATAAAATAATTTAAATATGTTGTTATAAAATCAAATTAATTAAAAAAGAATACTCACCCAATCTGCATCCATGTCTAATGCCCATTGGAATTTTTCATGAAGACTTTAAGATTTTTGTTAAAAATCTTAGCAATTGGTACATTGTATTTTTTACACCATGCTACAGAAATACGTGGGTCTATGTAATGAATTTTTGATGTACCCAATGCAATTGTTTTATTGTCTTCTTTATCTTGCTTCAACAATTTGGTGATTTTGATATGTTCTGTCAAATTTTCTATTTGGATCCAGAGTTTTTCACTTGTTTGTCCTTTTCTTGGATTGACCTTTCCAGATTTTTGTTCATACTTCAACACCTTCTCTTTTTCATCAATGTTTTTTAATAATTGTTTAAGATGCTCATTGGGTTTAGGTGACTTTCCTTCTTCTGTAAGCTTTTTCATTACCTCTTTCAAATTTTTTTACAACTGCCAAACATTCCCTTTCCATCAATTGCTTCTCATGCTCAATTATCCATTCCTCTTCCATGTCTGATTTTTTTAATATTCCTCCAGAGTTGCAACTTCTTGGTCACGGAGCCATATTTAGAAGTAGGATTGTTGCAGGTGACTTTTCAGCTAACATGTCAGCCTTCTCTGGCCTGGGTGCTGTGAGGGAAGATTATCAAAGGTGTGATTGATGATTGATGCAATCTCAGTAAATTCCAGGGCCTTACACCCCTCCCTGGAATTCTCTAGCATCATTGTATCATCAGGGACCTTGCAGTCAGATTAGCCTTGTGTACATGAGGAACATAAGAGAATGACTGTAATGTGCTCAAGGTAGTATGCATGCTTCAATGCCTGTAAATTTCTGATAAACAAATGTTCATATCAAATGTTTCTTCTGAAAGTCAGGTATGCTGCCTTGGCATCTTGTAATTATAATAATATTAATGTTATTATTAACATTGATTATGAAAAGCAAAATACCAATTGTTTACATCTTGATGAGAATCTTATAATTACCCAGTGAGATCTGCTCCATGTTTTGATTTAAAAGACATTTCAATGCAAATTAAAAAAAAGTTACCTCTGGTTAGTTATTAACACATCTTTAGAACCAAACCATATTGAATAACAACATTTGCATTTTGTCATCTGTCAAAAAATAAATTGTTTTTCCAAAAAAAAAAAAAATGATCGTGTTAACAAAAAAAACAGGGGTCCCATAAATAATTGGATGCATTGTTGATCAATCAAATAAATTCTTTTTTTTCAAAATGTCATCAGTAACATCAAAAAAAATAAGAAGAAAAAAAGTAGATGAATTGATCGAATCGTAAGAATGGTGGTGGTGGTTATTGCCACCACTCATCACTCTAGTTATTTAAAAGAATGGTTGTGATGATTATGATGCATTACAACTTGTGACTGGAATTATCTCCAAGCAAGTGTTGAATATCCTAATGTCAGCTTGTCAAGTGATGTTGAAAATCTAATTAATTTACTGTTAAAAGCTGTGAGTATTAACAATTAGGCTGATTATTAGTCTTTTATTTTCAATGGAAAATGTTATTTACATTTATTAATTAAAAACAGGACACATTCTTGGATTATCAACAATGTCTAGATAATGTGCAATTTGATTGTAATAATAAACAAATGGTTTTTGTGATTAATGTTCTCAAGTGGTTGCAAGTATCATTGATTCTTCCAAAATAGTGTTGTTTATTTATAGTAACATATAGTTTTACTAATTTACTTTTATTTTTAAACTTCGACAAATGTTTTTCCTTCTCAATCTACATTTCACAGTTCATATAAGAGTGAAGCTATCCTTGGATCACTGATGGCCCATCCTGTGTTACAATACCTTGTTAATACAACAAATAGTCAACCTTATTATGTCCCGTATGTTTTTCAGTTTTAATACCAAACTGGTGTTTAATCTTCATTTGCTTTTCTTTACAGAATTAAAACACAAGTTTTCTTTTTAAATATAGTGGTGAAATTTGCCTCACTGCAAGTGCAAATCAGCATTTTTTAAGACAAGATCTAAAACCAACTGATGATAAACCTCTGGGAATGAAAGTTGATGGGTTGTTTTGTTCTTCTAGAAATGAAATAGGCATGGTCAAATTATCAGGAGGCTATTTAACATTTGATATGCCACGTTATTTAAAAGATCACATCAAAGGATTCTGTGGCTGCCATGATCTTCTCAATGATATTTTTCTCAAGAATAGACTAGGTGATCTTGAAATCATGCAACATTGGGGTATTCGATATAAGTTGATTAACAAATCTAATTAATGTCATAATGTAAATCCATATATGCGGATTTTTTTATGGTGCCCCCTTTTTTCTCTAAAAAAGGA